CGGGCAGCGGAGAACGACCGAAACGCAGCGAGCGCCCGTGCTGCAGGCGGCGCGGACATCAAAACGCCGCCGCACATCTCCCTGCCTGGGTGGCGTGCCAGGGAAAGGGCCGGTAATTGCACTTCGGTCGCCAACTAGAAATCCTGTGGCTGGTTCACTTAGGCAAAAAAAAAACCCCACAGTCTTTCTTGAACTATTAAATCCTGCAGTTGATCTGTTCGTTCTTGTTATTTATGTGTAGAGATACTAAAGTCCTCACAGGAAAATGCAGGGGAGGCAATTAGGGAGCAGGATTAATTTTTTTTTTTCTTGTTTCTGCATAAAAACCATCTTTAGTGGAGGAGTTAATTTACTTGATCTCATCATGCAACATCTCTAACGGAAACATTGTGCAGAGCCACATTGCTGAGCAGTTTGCAGTTGGAGGATTTTCGTGGTTTTCTTCTTCAGCCAAAAAGAAAGCTGGCATTTTGTAACGAGGGGTGGTTTCTCTCTTTACAGTACCACGAGCACACCGGACTGTGATGAACAAATGTTGTCTTTGCAGGGTCCGTTCGGCGTGCGGGGTCCTGAGTCACTTCTGCACTTCCACTCCCAGAACCCGGCTGGATCCCACCGACAGAACAGCAGTGCCGCAAATTTGGTACTCTTGGGGTGCACCTTGATGAACTATGTATGAAAAGCACCGTTACATTTCATGTAATTTTTATCCACGGAAAAGGGGCTTTTTTAAGTTGCTAGGACACGCAGCTTGCTTGTTATCTACAGAGCAGTGAAAAGACAGACAGCCCCTTGGAGCCGTGTGTTTGCACCCCCCTTCTACCTGGAAGAAATACATGTTCTTCAGGACATAGTGGCTTTGAAATAGGATACTGCCTGAAATCTTTATTGCAACATTTGACTTCAAAAGAGACACTACTGGGTTTGAAAGGAAGGCATGCTAGAGAGTTGATCCTCAAAAATAGGAAATTTGGTAAGAAGCTACTCCCGTTTAACAAATAACAAGGTTGAGGATAAATGTAATCAGTTCTACTCTCCCACCATATTTTTTCTATCCTGCAGCCCTACAAAAAGGTAATTGGGCGGAATTATGGCATCAAAGGCAAAACAATTTTATGTTTTCCTAGTCCTCTGCTTTACTATTATTATTGAAGTCAGTGGCATGCTATAGTTGAGCCATTTTAGTCTTACTAGTTGAAATATCTTCAACTTTTTCTAATTATGTAACAGCTATGTAAGTTTGGGTTTTTTTTAAATATATCTTTGATCTGTACAAGCTTACTGTCTAAACACACCCCAAAGTGAAACAAAAGGTAGTGTTCTTGTTCCTGCCAGCCACTGAGCTCACACCTACTGAGTTGTGTGTGGAGCAAGCGTCGACAGCAGTGTCGTTGCGTTACCTTCTCTCGCATCTTTTCAGACTCATCGCAGTGCCGTTTGCTCATATGGACTGTGATCAAAGAATACCTCCTCGCTTTCCTTGGTCATCCAGAGGCATGGTTAATTACCTGTATCTATTCACAGCCTAAACATTCACCATTAATAACTATGCTGGTTGCTTCAGGGCAGAGCTTGCCGCGTTCATTATTGACAATAAGCAATGAGAATTAATTGTCTGTCATTAATTCAGTGGTGAACAACTTACTCCGTACGGCTTCAGAAGCAGGAGACGGCCTCGTGACGCAGTGCTGTGCCGCTGTTGGGAGAAGCAGGTTATTCTGACTTTCGTTGCTTGTGCACCACAGTCCCCTCGGTTTGCCAGCTCTGTTGCTGCAAACCACAGCTCCAGTCCTGGAATAGGTGCAGAGCTAAGAGGGCTCTGCGCAGACACAGCAGACCTCCCACGTAATTTTTGCTCCACGAAATGGGAGTTGGCATCTAGAGGGTTTGCTGCTTGTCCAGACACAACTCCGCTTTGTCACACCCAATTAATGCCTTAATTCTGAATCACATCGATAGACTTGTGCTCACAGGCAGGACTCGTTGCAGGTCTTGTGCTGCAAATATTTCAAAAATTAATATCCGTGAGTAATTTTGCATAAATGAGCAGTGCCGTTCCGTTCGTGATGGAAGCCTTTCTTTCCTAGGGAAGGCTAGGAAATGTTCTAAAATAACCAGTTACCAGAAAACTCTGCTATAAACTGTGACAACTGTTTATGAGACATTGTTGCCAATTAATTGCATTTGTCCCCAGGATAACACAACTTGGAAGTAAACAAGCATGACATCAGCATGGCCACAGCCTGTAATTCTCAGAATTCACCTTTCCCTTGGCCAATGGCTAAGAGAACCTCATAAATTTAAGAATATTCCCCAGCATGTCTGCCTTAAGGAATCTGATTTAGAGGCTTAATCTCCATAGGTTTTATGATTCATTATATTTGATAGACAAGGAGAAAGCTGAAATATGGCCCATGTGCACTGCTGTAACTCCACTGACATTAGGCATCTATCATCCACTACCGTTTGTATTCTACTTCCTAAGAAATATACCTCCCATTATTGAATTCCTCACAATCTTCAAATATATTTCTCTTCTTAACACCTTAATGAAGTCAGTAAGAACTGGCACAGTTAGGAAAGTGAACAAAAAGGGTGTTCTTGCTCTGGGCTTGCAGGAAGCCTGTGATAGTGGAACTGAGCACAACTCCTGTCAATGCTCCGCCGGTACCCTGACCCACTGCATCCTGCTTCCTTCCATTTGCACGCTTGGTTTGGTTCCTAATAAAAATTAATACAGAACGTTCCCACTTGAAGACATCTCGGTTGTCAAAATACAGTACTAAACGAGCTGCTGTTTAAAATTATTTCACAGACAAGTAGGTGGGCCTTGAGTACTTTTAAAAGTAGAGCTGAAGACTATTTTACAGTGTTCCTAAAGATGAGCTGTCACAACATGTTGGTATGCAGGCTGGGGGTGAATTAGTTTTGGATCTTTGTATCTTCTTATAAAAGGCTGTGCTGCTTTTACTATCTGCACCACAAATTCCAACAGCTGCTTTATGAATTCATCTGCAGTTGAGTTTTATCCTTCAGAGCATCACACTTCATCTAGGGTCTTCGTTTATATTCATCAGTGAGGATGAAAATAAAATTTAGCTTTCATTCAAAGGCTTAATTAGATTTCAGTGTATGATTAACATTCCACATACAATTACTCTCATCAAAGTCAAGCATATGCATAAATCTTTGCAGGACTGGGGCCAAAACATATTTAAGTATCCACTTATTCAATACATTTTATATAAAGAATTATCCTTTATGCAAGAGCCTTAACTAGGTAACTCTTGACACAGCTAAGTCTCTCTATAATTACTCATTTTCTTACTCTTCATCTGATATCTACTGTACACATTGTTATCTGACTCTTCCAGCAGTTGGGTATGAACACAGTTCCCCAACTGTAAATACAGCGTTACTCTTCTGCGTGAGTGTTTATAGGAGCAGCCAGGAGTATTCAGCAAACAATCTCAAAAACTAAGTTTTCAGGAAAACGTGTAACAACTCCAACAGGTAACAGCATTCACTGTATAATTTGGTAAAACAAACCATTAAAAAAAATAATCAATACTAAATCATAAAAGGTATACTAAATTATTGCAGTGCCTACAGGAAAACTACAGGAAAAATAAGTTTTCCATTAAAATGCCATCGATAGCCGACAGCAAACAAAGTGCAACTAGGCCACTTAAGACAGTGGATTCACCAAAACTTTAATACTATATTTTTGGCATGCAATATATACATAATTAAACAGTTAAAAAACATATACAAGTGCATTATACATAATGTAAACGCCGTCCTGCTGTGGATTGTATCTACCAGTATATTCACAGCACCAGTCATAACATTTGCTAGCAAGAAAAACAGTAATTGATTTTTATTAATAGCACTGATTAGGCAAGCGTGCGCCAGCTTGCCTTCCCTGCCGACAGGCACGGCTTCCAGTTCATGCCTTGTACTGGTATTAGGGGGCTTTACAGCGTTCCAGCAACAGGGCACGCTGGAGCCCTTCACAAGCAGCTTTGTAAACACTAACGCGAGGTCAGTCACCACGAAAAAGATGAAGAAAGTCAGGCAGTGAGCCACCACCCATATGCAGTAGGACAGGTTTGCCATCCGGCGCGACACGGGGTCCGCGAAAACTTGCGACAAGTGCAGAAACAGGAAGAGCACGAGAACTGTCACCAGTAAGAGACGCACCGCTCCAGTCCAGCCTTTGACGGAGCTCCTGCACTTCAGCAGACACAGCCCCACCTGGATGCTCGCCATATATATGGCTAGATAGCCAAAGAGAGAGAGCAGTCCTTCCCTGTTGGCATTTAAAAAGCCAGCCCTGGTATCTCTGCCGTTGCTCCCATGCAGGATAAACATCTTCAGGGAGGATGTATTCAGAGTCAGCTGATAAAGTACAGCGAGATTTATAGCAATGATCCAAGATTTATTTTTTGGAAACACGGCTAAAAGTAGAGATGCTGCAAGCCTCACGAATGCTAAAGTAAAGAAAAAATTCCAGTGCACTCCATACTCTGAAGTATGTTCGTGATACTCTATAGATTTAACACTAAGCAGTCGTCCAACGCCAAGAAAAATCAGTGGCCAAACGGAAAAGAACTGCCTGGCCAGACTGGAAAATTTTGGTTGTGTCAAACAAGACTTTTGCCTGACTTCAGGACAAACGAGAGCATTACCGAAAATAAATGCTCCAACCCCAAAATCCATAACGCCTGTTCCATAGGTCTCGGCTTTGGCGTACCGCCTTGGATACTGCGGGAAATCCACTGCTAAAATGCTGATTGATGTCAGCACATTGACATAAACACGAAACACAGTTATTGCTGGAATGTATTCTGGATCCAAGTGCGTCTCCTGGAAGTCTTTTACAATTTGCCTAAAAGGCACTCTGGTCTCAGGTTTTCTTTGGCTGTATATCTTATAAAATATTCCGGCGCAGAAGGCTGCAACGATAATTGGCATGAAAAAGATGATGGGAGACAAGACTGTACAGAAGAACAGGAGAGGAGACACCAGCACGAGGAAGTCTAGCAGCAGCCTGTACTTCCTTGAACTTAGAGGCTTCCCATAGTGCAGGTAATACAAAATCAGAAGGAGTCCTCTGCCAAGCAGGCAGAGTGGAGGTAGGGACAAGCCTACGGAAATTTCCAGCAGACTCGTTCCGTTTAAGTTGCTGATAAAGGCTTCTTTCAGGTGTTTTTGCGACATCATTCTTTCTTCCTCTGAAAACACAAACGTGAACTTGAGTTAGTTTTGTAGAACAGGGCTCTTAGAACATCACCCAAAGTGAATCTTACGTACCAGTTCATTAGAGCAGATACTGATTTCAAAAATCACCTGGTTTTCGGTTACTCTTCAATTCAAAGAACACGGAACAGCCGCGGTGCTGCAGAAGCTGCAAAGGCACCTGCAAGACCCGACTGAGCTCCAGCATTCCAAACCTTGCTGGCTTCCCACAAGATTCTTAACACATTTTTGCTGAAAATTTTTGCTGGATTTGAAAATCCACACTGTGAATAATCTCACTGCACATCCCGCTCTGCAGAATGCACTCAGTCATACTCTCTAGAGCATAAATGAAACGGATACGGAAAACCGTGACCCTGATGAAGGTTCTGGTGCTCGGTCAGCAGAGACGGTGCCATGAAGCCCGCAGCCAAAACACGCAATTGCAACAGAAGCGCCTTTTTTAGGAAGTCCCGGCCCCGCAGCGATCCTGCCCGGCGGGACCTGTTTCCAGACTCTACGTTCCACGCAAAAAGCGTTAATTAGGAACTCAGAACCGCCGGTTGGTTTGTTTAACCCCTCCGGCGGACCGCGCTCGCTCGCACAGGCGGGAGAACTTACCGGCGTGGGGCGCGGGGCCCGCGGCGGGACGCCCGGAATTCCGAAATTCCAGCGGCCGGAGGGAAATGGATGTCGCGGAGGAACGGACCCGCTTTTCCACGCCACCATCCCCTG